GGATGGTCGTTAAAAAATATTCTTTAAAAAATCCACGCCTTGGTGGATGGTCGTTAAAAATATTCTTTAAAAAATCCACGCCTTGGTGGATGGTCGTTAAAAAATATTCTTTAAAAAATCCACGCCTTGGTGGATGGTCGTTAAAAAATATTCTTTAAAAAATCCACGCCTTGGTGGATGGTCGTTAAAAAATATTCTTTAAAAAATCCACGCCTTGTAGGGTCCTTAAAAAATATTCTTTAAAAAATCCACGCCTTGTAGGGTCCTTAAAAAATATTCTTTAAAAAATCCACGTCTTGTAGGGTCCATAAAAAATATTCTTTAAAAAATCCACGCCTTGGCTGATGGTCGTTGAAAAAAATATTCTTTAACAAATCCACGCCTTGGATGTTCGTTAAAAAAATATTTAATTTCGTGGTATGTCTGCATTGTTAGAGGACCACCTGTATTTGAAAGCGCCTGAAAATATGCTATTCATGGCATGCACAATTGCATAAAACAGCAATAATCTTCACGAACAGCAGCAGCAGCACACCTAAACACACGTCCTACAAAGCCAACGTAACACCAATAACTGAAAAGACTGAACAACAACAAAGACACTAACAGCAGCACGGCAACAACAAAAACTATAAAAGTAATTTAGTAACTATCATCATTGAACGAATATTAAAACAGTTAAGTTCTTTTGTTTCCATGACAGAATTGCAACAGCATCGTCCTGCGATTTTGCAACCCCTCTCCCACCTTTTCAAGGAAAACAAATTGCTGCCTTTTCCCAGCTCCATTCCGCTGCCTCCAACGACGACACTACCTAACAACGCTACAACAAATGGCGATAGTAAAAATTGATTTTAGGTATTGTTCGTTCAGTTATTGAAAGAAAAATGCAAGAGCGGGCGAGCGAATGAATGAATGAAAAACGAAAATATTAAAACAAAAATGAGCAACAAAAAAAGCTGGAGGAGAAAAATCTCTTAAAAAGAATATGAACAAAAATACACAACCCGAAGAATACATTAAAACCCTACACATAGCTCTAGTGATTGTTCGAAGCTCTGACATTAAAGATTTAATAGAGCAGAATAAATTAAAAGTAAGATTTTATGAAGGACCTCGCTTTTTCTGCTCATTTTGCTTTAATCGTGAATTTGTTGGAGGGCGGGAGGGGAAGGACGCAAGCAACTGGAATTTAGCTACTGTCGAGAAGTGGACTGCAATCAATTTAGGTGTATGGATTTTTTAGTGAAAATAAACGAAGTTAGGTGCTCGAAGTTGAAAGCATTTGTTAAGGATTCTTTGAAGGGGCGAGTAGAGCCAATTTTATTAGCTATTAGCAAATTTCTATTAATTATGTCCTCATCCATATGGCTTCAGGGGGTATATATCATTTGGTACGGCCAAAACGTGCCTCATCGAAATAACGATTTTAGACCCTAAGTCTCTTTGGACCAAATCCATTTCAGGGTATTTGGAATCGATCTAGCGATGTCCGTTCGTCCGTCTGTCTGGCTGGTGTGCACGATAACTCTCGAAGATAAGTATTTGATTTAGCCTAAACAAGGTACATCACAATATTATTACCTTTTGGCACCTTCCCCACAAAAGGTCGAAATTTTCAAAAAAAAAAAAAAAAATATATATTTTACTGCACAGAAAGAGAAAGGGTAATCTCATTTAGCTCCAACTTTGCAAATACTAAATTTTCATCAGTCAGGTGCGAAAATGGACAATATCAGACTAGTCCATCAAGTACCTCCCCACAAAGGATCAATATTTTGAATAATTATAACGCTTATTAAATGTGATCACTATATCCCATTACTTCGACTTACACAAGATATGTTATGAAAATGGTATACACCGGACCATTTCTTCTGGTACCTCCCCCACAAAGGGTCAACGTTTTGAATAACCAAAACGATTATAAAATCCGAAATAATCATCCGGTGTAACGTGGTTTTCTCGTCGGCTGAGGTAAGCTCAGCTGTACCCAGGGTCTCCATAAGGAGCCACTAAACCTTATGAAATAATAAGAGTAGATTTCTCCCTTTCCTGGGGGTAAAATCGGGTATTTTATTGATTTTTAATGCTAAATTACAATCTACTCGGGTTGAAATACGATAAGATAAAGATGGAATATAGGATGGCAAATGGACTTCGGTAGTGTTCGGGAATTAAAATTAGTGTTGCGGAATTGATGATCGGGAATTCGACGTTTACTCGTATCGTAGGCAAGAACGTGAACGACTGGCGGTCATTCGGGAATGATTATGTCTGGTTAAAGAAGTTCGGGAATTGCGGTGTTGGGTTCGGGTGACGTTTGCGTTGACGATTTGAAGGTAACCGGGAACTTTCGGTCGTCGATTGACGATGGTTTGACTGTTATCAGGAATTACGATGTTTGTATTCAGCTGATGCGGTATGTTGACGACTTGAAGGTAATCGGGAACTTGTGGTCGCCGGTTGTCGACGATCATGAATTACGATGTTTGTGTTCGTGTGATGAGGATTGTTGACGATTTGCAGATAATCGGGAATTGGTGATAGTCGGTTGTCGACGATTTGACTATTATCTGGGATTACGATGTTCGTATTCGAGTGATACGGTATGTTGAGGATTTGAAGGTAATCGGGAACTTCATCGAGTGGTGAACAATCGAGGTTCGCGAAGAAGATGGTTGGGACGTGGACGCACAGGGCTTCGGAGACAGATTGGCGACGTGTGGTATACAAGCTACCAATTCACAGGGGAGATCCTCGGAAGCAGCTGTACAGGTCTTTGTAGGAGGATTGAGGTCCGTTCGAATTCGACAGCTCGTTGAGGATAGATTCGGCAACCTATGCGTTAGGTTTTGTAGATGGATCGGGGCTCGTTCGGGTTCGGCAGCTCGTTGGGGGTAGATTCGGCCACCGATGAGTTAGGTTTTGTAGATGGATCGGGGCTCGTTCGGGTTCGGCAGCTCGTTGAGGGTAGATTCGGCAATCGATGCGTTAGGCCTTGTAGATGGATCGGGGCTCGTTCGGGTTCGGCAGCTCGTTGAGAATCATTTTCTGAGTTGATTTATGCAGGCCCACCCTGTCTGTCCGCCCGCGAGTCTGTATGCATACTTGTGAACAAAATGCAGGTCGCATTTATTATCCGATTGAGATGAAATTTTCCAAAAAAATATTTGTTTGACGCAAGGACGAATCCTATTGAAATTGGTGAAAAACGGATCTGATTTAGACATAGCTCCCATATATATCTTCAACCGATTTCGGGTTAATTTTGCACCAAGTCCAAATGACCTAATTTTTTGGAATTCCAACTGAATTCAGTCTAGAAGCGAGTACATCGAATTCGGAGAAAATCGGTTCAGATATAGCTATAGCTCCCATATATATGTTTCAACCAATTTGGCGTTCGACAACAAAGATATTTGCTAACAGATAATCCGATTTCAAGTTTATTGTGCAAATAATAGCTAATATCGGCCTAAATGGAGTGAATTTTCTGGAACTCAGCTCCGATACATATATTTTTAATATAATCCTTTACAAGGGATATCATGCACTCTATAGCAATGTTATTTGGTATAAAAGATGAAAAGGTCTCCGTCAAATTTAGTGAAAATCGATACAGAATTGGATATCCCTCGCATTTATTAGTTCCCTCTTAATCCAAACTATGACTGCTCTAAAGCCAAATGTTAATAGGTGATATAATCTACTTCGAGTAAATTCTTTTGTTACAGGAGCTATACTAAATATGCCTAGTGGTGTAGGGTATCATATAGTCGGCCCGCCCCACTTTTTCCTTTCCTTACTGGCTTATATTTTATTTATTAATTTTTGACAAGGATGGCCCCGGGACACCCTTTTCCGAAGGCCTAAAAATGTCCATTATTTTGGCCAATATTGGGAGGCAAAGTGTTTTCAATTTATCGTCACTTAGGCGGCCTAATGCAGGGCTTGCCGTTTCAAGCTATCTTATTGTAATTATATTGATAGTGAGTCGGGAAATAACAGACTAAGAACATCTTCTTTTAGCAAAAATATATGCATCGGAAAAAATTATATTTTCTTATGTCCTTTACCTTCTAAATTGTCCCTTTTTTAAGGAATTACGCAGTATGGGAGGAGTTCGTTGATCTGAAGCGATTTTTAAATCTCTTTTCAAAATATCGACTTGAAAAAGGTGGCATTTATTTATTTTCACTCAAAGACACCAATTCTTTTCCTAACATCAGGAAATCCATTACGAAGTCCTTTCTCAACAAGCGACAATTTTTTGAAAATCTTCACGCCTTTGATGCCCTGCCATTGAGAACTTTTTTAAATTTTATGTCCCGTTTTTAATATCTCCCCTTTAAACTTATTGGCCGCATTGCATAACACAGTCGTCCTTGGAGAAATCCATGAGAAATGTCCTCAAACATAAATAAAATGCAAAAAATTTCATCTTCTTTTCTTCCCCTTGCCCTGCACTCCCCTCTTTGCGTCTCATTAAATACTTCAATGTGTAAATATATGCAAACTAAATGTAAATAATCGTTAGTCTTCAGTCGGAGAGACAGACAGACAGACAGACAAAACAAAAGCAAAGACAACTCGCTTCCCGGCAGCAGCAGAAGAAGCTACAAGAGCAACTACTTCACATAAGAAAGAAAAAAGGACTTCCAGCATTCCTTGGAAATTCCTTGCCGCCATGGCCATGTCAAGTCGTAGAAAAGCCAGAAGGCAACAAAAAAGGAAACTCGTATCTGCATAAACAATAAAAAACAAATGTTGACATTGAATATTTTAAAATTTAAGTCTAGGAAAAGCACGACTGGACTCAGCTGCATGGCTGTTAAAGGGAAATTAACATACGAAAAGGCTACTGCGTAGCAAAATTCTGAATTTTCCTTTTTCTTGCAAAAATTTAAGGAAAGAAAATTTGCCGAGGCAATAAAAACCATTTTTGTTTAATATTTTTCTGAGATTTTTATGATTTTTTTTCTTCCCGTTTTTTGCAGCTCCTGTTACCGGCAACTTCACCGATGAGGAATTTATGGGAGCCAGTGGCTCCCAGGATAATTCAGAGTATCCATTTCAAAGGGATGAAGTGGCCAGGATTCCCTACAACAAAGATAGAAGTGGTTATGAGAATTCAGGTGAGTTAAAAAAATATTGAACAGCAAAGAGAAAAATAATAGAGAGATAGAGAGAGGGAGAGAGAAATTAAAGAGAGTGAGAGCGTCTATATAGAGGCCAGTAGGCGTCTATATAGAGGCCAGAAGGCATCTATATAGAGGCCAGAAGGCGTCTATATAGAGGCCAGAAGGCGTCTATATAGAGGCCAAAAGGCGTCTATATAGAGGCCAGAAGGCGTCTATATAGAGGCCAAAAGGCGTCTATATAAAGGCCAGAAGGCGTCTATATAGAGGGCCAGAAGGCGTCTATATAGGGGCCAGAAGGCGTCTATATAGAGGCCAGAAGGCGTCTATATAGAGGCCAAAAGGCGTCTATATAGAGGCCAAAAGGCGTCTATATAGAGGCCAAAAGGTGTCTGTATAGAGGCCCAGAGGCATCTATAGAGGCCCAGAGGCATCTATAGAGGCCCAGAGGCGTCTATAGAGGCCCAGAGGCGTCTATAGAGGCCCAGAGGCATCTATATAGGGGCCAGAAGGCGTCTATATAGGGGCCAGAAGGCGTCTATATAGAGGGCCAGAAGGCGTCTATATAGGGGCCAGAAGGCGTCTATATAGGGGCCAGAAGGCGTCTATATAGAGGGCCAGCAGGCGTCTATATAGAGGTCAGAAGGCGTCTATATAGGGGCCAGAAGGCGTCTATATAGGGGCCAGAAGGCGTCTATATAGGGGCCAGAAGGCGTCTATATAGAGGCCCAGAGGCATCTATATAGGGGCCAGAAGGCGTCTATATAGGGGCCAGAAGGCGTCTACATAGAGGGCCAGAAGGCGTCTATATAGGGGCCAGAAGGCGTCTATATAGAGGGCCAGCAGGCGTCTATATAGAGGTCAGAAGGCGTCTATATAGGGGCCAGAAGGCGTCTATATAGGGGCCAGAAGGCGTCTATATAGGGGCCAGAAGGCGTCTATATAGAGGCCAGAAGGCGTCTATATAGAGGCCAGTAGGCGTCTACATAGAAGCCAGTAGGCGTCTACATAGAAGCCAGCAGGCGTCTACCCCGAGGCCCAGTAGGCGTCTATATAGAGGCCCATAGGCATCTATATAGAGGTCCAGAGGCATCTATATAGAGGCCCAGAGGCATCTATATAGAGGCCCAGAGGCATCTATATAGAGGCCCAGAGGCATCTATATAGAGGTCCAGAGGCATCTATGGAGGCCTAGAGGCATCTATGGAGGCCCAGAGGCATTTTTGGAAGCCCAGAGGCATCTATAGAGGCCTAAAGGCATCTATAGAGGCCTAGAGGCATCTATAGAGGCCTAGAGGCATCTATAGAGGCCTAGAGGCATCTATAGAGGCCTAGAGGCATCTATAGAGGCCTAGAGGCATCTATAGAGGCCTAGAGGCATCTATAGAGGCCTAGAGGCATCTATAGAGGCCTAGAGGCATCTATAGAGGCCTAGAGGCATCTATAGAGGCCTAGAGGCATCTATAGAGGCCTAGAGGCATCTATAGGCCCAGAGGTATCTATAGGCCCAGAGGTATCTATAGAGGCCTGGAGGCATCTATATAGGCAAAGAGGCATCTATATAGAGGCCCAGAGGCATCCATAGAGGCCCAGAGGCATCTATAGAGGCCCAGAGGCATTTATAGAGGCCCAGAGGGCATCTGTAAGGAATCTGAGCCCTTTACAGATCCCCTTTTTATTTTTCTTTCGATTTAAATATTTTATTTCCGATTCATTTTTCTCACATTTTTTTTTTTTCTCTTTTCACAGTCCTCTCACCCAAACCCATCGACCAAGAACCGGATACGGCAGGCACAAGTTTCATTGGCGTCTTAATCACTGTCCTCGCCACGATTATTTTACTCCTGGTCGTTGTGATATTGGCGATAATTGCCCGCAATAAACGCGGACATGGCGGCGGTAATGTTTTGGATGCATTCCAGCATAATTTCAATCCGGATACACTCGGCAGTGTGGATAATAAACGACTTAACGGTAATGGAGTGAAGGTAAGTTTGTTAAAGAGAAAACAAACGCGGAAGATAAACACAAAATGAAACTGTGATAATCATCCATCAGGGAGTCATTTGAAAAGAATTTATTGAGAGGAGCATCAGGGGTAAAGGGGATTTTTCAAAGAATTTTTTAAAGGTACTGCAACATACAAAGCCGTAGATTTTAATTCCTGGATTTTTAAGAAATTTTTAGATGCGTGTATTTTTAAGGATTTTTTAGAAGCGTTAATTCTTTAAAAAATTTTTAGAGGCTTGGATTTTTTTAAGGATTTTTTGAGGCGTGGATTTTTTTAAGGATTTTTAAGAGGCGTAGTTTTTTTAAGGATTTTTAAGAGGCGTAGTTTTGTTAAGGATTTGTTTTTAAAGGAGACGTGGATTTTTATTGATTTTTTAAGAGACGTGGATTTTTTAAAGATTTTTTGGAGGGGTGGATTTTTTTAAGTTTTTTTAGAGGCGTAGATTTGTTTAGGTTATTGTTAAGAGGCGTGGAAGTTTTTTAAAATTTTTTTTAAGCGTTGAATTTTAAAGATATTTTAGAGGCGTAGAATTTTAAAGATTTTTTAGAGGCGCGTTTTTGAGGCGTAGAATTTTAAAGAGGCGTGGATTTTTTAAGGATTTTTTAGAGGCGTGGATTTTTTAAAGGATTTTTTAGATGTGTGGATTTTTTTAAGGATTACTTAGAGGCGTGGATTTTTTAAAGGATTTTTTAGATGCGTGGATTTTTTTAAGGATTTTTTTAGAGGCGTGGATTTTTTAAAGGATTTTTTAGATGCGTGGATTTTTTAAGGATTTTTTAGAGGCGTGGATTTTTTAAAGGATTTTTAGATGCGTGGATTTTTTTAAGGATTTTTAGATGCGTGGATTTTTTAAGGATTTTTTAGTCGCGTAAATTTTGTAAGGATTTTTTAGAGGCGTAGATTTTTTAAGGATTTTCTAGAAGCGTGGATTTTTTAAGGATTTTCTAGAAGCGTGGATTTTTTAAGGATTTTTAAGAGGCGCGGATTTTTAAGGATTTTTTAGAGGCGTGGATTTTTAAGGATTTTCTAGAAGCGTGGATTTTTTAAGGATTTTTTAGAGGCATGGTTTTTTTAAGAATTTTTTAGAGGCATGGATTTTTTAAGTATTTTGTAGAGGCGGGGATTTTTAAGGATTTTTTAGAGGCGTGAATTTTTTAAGGATTTTTTAGAGGCGTGGATTTTTTAAGGATTTTTTAGAGGCGTGGATTTTTTAGGGATTTTTTACAGGCGTGGATTTTTTAGGGATTTTTTACAGGCGTAGACTTTTTTAGAGGCGTGGACTTTTTTAGAGGCGTGGATTTTTTAGGGATTTTTTACAGGCGTGGACTTTTTTAGAGGCGTGGACTTTTTTAGGGATTGTTAGAGGCGTGGATTTTTAGAGGCGTGGATTTTTAAGAATTTTTAGAGGCGTGGATTTTTGAGGATTTTTAGAGGCGTGGATTTTTAAGGATTTTTAAAGATTATTAAAGCGTGGATTTTTTAAAGATTTTTAGAGGCGTGGACTTTTTTAGAGGCGTGGACTTTTTTAGAGGCGTGGATTTTTTAGGGATTTTTTACAGGCGTGGACTTTTTTGGAGGCGTGGACTTTTTAGGGATTTTTTACAGGCGTGGACTTTTTTAGAGGCGTTGACTTTTTTAGAGGCGTGGACTTTTTTAGAGGCGTGGATTTTTTAGGGATTTTTTACAGGCGTGGATTTTTTAAGGATTTTTTACAGGCGTGGGTATTTTAAGGATTTTTTAGAGACGTGCATTTTTTTGGGGTTTTTTAGCGGCGTGGATTTTTTAGGGATTTTTTAGAGGCTTGGATTTTTTAAGAATTTTTTAGAGGCTTGGATTTTTTATGGATTTTTTTATTTTAAATTTTTTTATTATTCATTCATGCCATTAAATCAATTTGTTTTCATCTCATTGCAGCCAGTTACCATGGAACCCGACAGTGAATCCATTGACAAGAGCAGTTTATATCATGAACCCTTTAATGTCAATAACATGTACACCAGTGCTGCCAGTGCTTGTTCCATAAATGATCTACAGCGGCATCATGTGGCCCCGGATTATACAGGTGAGTCAAAATAGGAAATTGCCAGAGAAGATTCTCCCGAAAAATAACTAGAAGTCTGTTAAATTTGATTTTGTAATGATGTCCTTTGACAGGGACTCCCTATCACTTCTTGCATTTAATCAAAGAAATTTCAAAAAATTAAACAAAAAAACTTACCTCATTCCTTAGCCACAAAAATTGTCCCAAAACAGTTTTTCTGGTTTTGTGTTTTACATCCTAACCGAAAATATTTCCCATTTTAAAACTTTTTTTATGTCTCTCATAATGTCCATTGTGGCTGATGTTTTACTCGAATTTAAGTTCAAAACATTTATTTTATTTTTGTTGCTCAAAGTCCCCCCGAAAATTCTTTCAGTTGTTACTTTACAACTCACACTTGTCCAATGGCGGAAGTTTTTCTTTCTTGGGATGGCGTTTGTGAAATATTCCTGTATTTATTGTTTATTTGTTTTTGCATTTTTCTTTGAAGCCCAGTCAGAAAGTCTGACTGGAGAAATTGTAGAAAAAAAAGAAAACAACAACAAAAATCGAAAAGCAACAAATGTTAATGACTAAAGTTTTTGACGTGGCATGAAAAAGATTTATTTTCAGGATTTGTTTTCTTGGCTTTCTTAATACTAACAAAACATATACGTATACATGTCTACATACATATCTACATATACAAACACACATATGTATGCATATTTTTAAATATTGATAGTTTCTTATACGAATTCTTAGGCTGTTATGGTCTCTTAAAAAAACTTAAAAAATCCACGCGTTAGAAAAATCTCGCCTCTAACAAATCCTTAAAAAATCCACGCGTTAGAAAAATCACGCCTCTAACAAATCCTTAAAAAAATCCAAGCCCCTAAAAAATATTTAAAAAATCCACGCCTTTAAAAAATCCAAGCCTCCAACAAATCTTTAAAAAATCCACGCCTCTAACAAATCCTTAAAAAAATCCAAGCCCCTAAAAAATATTTAAAAAATCCACGCCTCTAACAAATCCTTAAAAAAATCCAAGCCCCTAAAAAATATTTAAAAAATCCACGCCTCTAACAAATCCTTAAAAAAATCCAAGCCCCTAAAAAATATTTAAAAAATCCACGCCTCTAACAAATCCTTAAAAAAATCCAAGCCCCCAAAAAATATTTAAAAAATCCACGCCTTTAAAAAATCATAAAAAAATCCAAGCCCCTAAAAAATCTTTAAAAAATCCACGCCTTTAAAAAATCTTTAAAACAACCACGCCTCAAAAAAAAAGCACCCTTCAAAAAATCCTTAAAAACAAGGCCTCTAAAAAATTCAAGGTTCTAAAAATTTTTAAAAAATCCACGCCTCAAAAAATTCTAAAAAAAAACACGACTATTTTTTAAAAAATATGAGCCTCTTAAATTTAAAAAAAAATCCAGGACTCTAAAAAATCCAAGCTTCTAAAAAATACACGACTTTAAAAATCCTTAAAAAATCCACGCCTTTAAAAATCCTTAAAAAATCCACGCCTTTAAAAATCCTTAAAAAATCCACGCCTTTAAAAATCCTTAAAAAAATCCACGCCTCAAAAAAATTCTAAAAAAACACGACTTTAATTTTTTTTTAAAAAAATATGAGCCTCTTAAATTTAAAAAAAATCCAGGACTCTAAAAAATCCAAGCTTCTAAAAAATACACGACTTTAATTTTTTTTTAAAAAAATATGAGCCTCTTAAATTTAAAAAAAATCCAGGACTCTAAAAAATCCAAGCTTCTAAAAAATACACGACTTTAAAAATCCTTAAAAAATCCACGCCTTTAAAAATCCTTAAAAAATCCACGCCTTTAAAAATCCTTAAAAAATCCACGCCTTTAAAAATCCTTAAAAAAATCCACGCCTCAAAAAAATTCTAAAAAAACACGACTTTAATTTTTTTTTTAAAAATATGAGCCTCTTAAATTTAAAAAAAATCCAGGACTCTAAAAAATCCAAGCTTCTAAAAAATACACGACTTTAAAAATCCTTCAAAAATCCACGCCTTTAAAAAACCCTTAAAAAAATCATGCCTCAAAAAATTCTAAAAAAACACCACTTTAATTTTTTTTTTTAAATCTAAGCCTCTTAAATTTAAAAAAAAAATCCAGGACTCTAAAAAATCCAAGCCTCTACAAAAACCTTAAAAAATACGCGCCTTTAAAAATCCTTAAAAAATCCACGCCTCTCAAAAATCTTTAAAAAATTCATTAAAAATCCACGCATCCAAAAACTCCTTAAACAATCCAAGTCTTTAAATAATCCTTAAAAAATCCGAGCCTATAAAAATCCTTAAACAATCCAAGCCTCTAAAAAATCCTTTAAAAAATACATGCCTCTAAAAAATCTTTAAAAAATACACGCCTCTAAAAAATCGTTTAAAAAATCCACGACTCTAAAAACTACACGCCTTTAAAAAATCATTAAAAAATTCATGCCTCTAAAAAATTCTTTAAAGAATACTCGCCTCTAAAAAATCCTTTAAAAAATCCACGACTCTAAAAACTACACGCCTTTAAAAAATCATTAAAAAATTCATGCCTCTAAAAAATCCTTAAAAAATCCACGTTTCTAATACTTTAAAATAATTTATTGAGAGGAGCATCAGGGGTAAAGGCAAGGATTTTTAAAGATTTTTGGAGGGGATTTTAAGGAATTTTTGGGCGGGGACTGCAATATCTAAAGGAGTGGATTTTTTAAGGATTTTTAGAGGCGTGGATTTTTTAAGGATTTTTTAGAGGCGTGGATTTTTTAAGGATTTTCAGAGGCGTGGATTTTTTAAGGATTTTTTAGAGGCGTGGATTTTTTAAGAATTTTTTAAAGGCGTGGATTTTTTTAAAGAATTTTTTAAAAATCCACGCCACTAAAAAATACTTAAAAATCCACGCCACTAAAAAATACTTAAAAATCCACGCCACTAAAAAATACTTAAAAATCCACGTTTCTAAAAAATTCTTAAAAATCCACGTTTCTAACAAATCCTTAAAAAATCCTTAGAAAATACATGCCTTTAAAAAAATCCTGGGAAAATCCATGCCTTTAAAAAATCCACGCCTCTAAAAAATCCTTAAAAATCCACGTTTCTAGAAAATTCTTAAAAAATCCACACCTCTAAAAAATCTTTAAAAAATCCACTCCTTTAAAATATCCTTAAACAATTTATGCCTTTAAAAAATCCACGCTTTTAAAATATTCTTAAAAATTCATTCCTTTAAAATATCCTTAAAAAAATTATTCCTTAAAAATTCATTTCTTTAAAACATCCTTAACAATCCAAGCATTTAAAAAATCCGTAAAAATTCACGCCTTTAAAATATCCTTAAAAAATTCATTCCTTTAAAACATCCTTAAAAATCAAAGCATTTAAAAAATCCTTAAAAAGCCCAAGCATTTAAAAAATCCTTCAAATTCACGATTTTGGAAAAATCGTTTGAAAAATTCACGCCTTTGAAAAAAACGTTTAAAAAATCCACGACTTTGGAAAAATCGTTTAAAAAATCCACGCCTTTGGAAAAACCGTTTAAATATTCACGCCCTATAAACAATTTTTAAAAAATTCACACCTACCTGAAATCCTTCACAAATTTCATAGCTTTGCTGATACATTGAATATTAGCCCCTCTATATTTTGCCATATCCCCCTAATTTTTGTACCCCAAAAATATACAAAAATATTTTGTGTTATTATAATCTCTGGTGAAATTGTCATCAAAATGATATACAAATAGTTGTTTGTTTTTTCATTTTAAATTGAAATTTGAAAACATTGAATTGGCTTCAGTTATGATGAGGCGGCGCTTATTTTCGCTGGAAAGTTGAGAACACATAAAACACATCATATTTCATTTCAAATGAAAATGATACTTTTGACATTTGCCAAACGGAAAATATTGTTATGTGGAAGATAACCCAACAAACAATGCAAGTTGATAAATTGATGATAAATTTCTTTTGGAAGGTTTTAAGGCGGCCACATGTTTAGAGGTTATAGGATGTTCCCCTTTGATTAAGAAAACTTCTTGTGTGGATTTTGAATTCAGCTTTTCAATTTTTTTATTATTTGACAACTTGTCCACAGCAGTAAAGTTTTTAGGCTAACAAAAAATATTTTTCTTTTCATTACGAATACACATAAAAACAAAGCCTACTTTTGTAACATAAAAAACATATGGAGAACTTTGATCAATATATTTTTGCATGGTAACATAAATTAGTTTTTATTAAAATATTTTTAAGTTTCCCAATGAACAATTGTGGTGCAATTGTCCAACAGAGGTAGAAAATAAATTTAGGTGAGGCTTCAGTGACATTTTGGAAAATGTTCGCTGGGTTATGTCAATTTTCTTAAAGTCCAACAAACAATTTAAGTTGATGATTAAAGTGGAGTGCAAAAATCTCTATTGAAAGGTTTTCAGATTGGGCAAAAGTTTCGGAAAGAAGAGAAATTTAGGTTGGACTTCAATTAAATTTTTGAAAATGTTCGCTGGGTTATGTCAATTTCCTGAAAACTAATTTTTGTCATATATTTTGATGTGATAAAAATTCAAAATAAATTTCAATGTTGGAGAAATTATTATAAATTATTTTCAAAATGTTTGCTGGGTTATGTACAGATGGAAGACAAACCAACAAACAATGTAAGTTGATGATTAAAATGGAGTGCAAAAATGTCCAATAGGAAGGTTTTAAGCTTTGGCAAATGTTTCGGAAAGAGAAATGTAGGTTGGACTTCAATTAAATTTTTGAAAATGTTCGCTGGGTTATGTCAATTTCCTTAAAACGTCTTTTTTCATAAATTTTTCAAGATAAAAAAAATGATTTCCAAAATGTTCACTGGGTTATGTGCACATTTAGCTCGCAGCCAATTCATTTCAGTGTGCCACCATGGCGTATAAGTAATATTATGTTGTTACGTATACGTTCAGGAGCACAGTGTCAACTAGATATGAACATTGAATTGCTGCCATGGCACGACGACACCACCCAGGATAAATGCAAAGTTCATAGCAAAACATTGAAAACTATGCTATGCATTACTCAATAAACTCCTGCAGGGGTTTTATTTAACACGCAAACACACATACAGCCACACATTTGCACTTTCATATTCCACAGCAACTGTGAAAATATATTCGTAACCCCATTCTGGCTATGGACACCAACATCTGAAATGGCAAAATATGAAATGGCAGCACTAACATAACATTAGAATTCATTACAAATTGTCCATGTCCAATTTAAATTGAAACTTTTCACACATCCAATGAGCTGTTGAACTCGACCGGTTTTTTTTCTCGGTTGGACCTCCAACGTTTTTATGACATCATGTTATTGGATACATGTTGCTATTTTACGAAAGTGGAGGAAAAAATAACTGAGAGAACAGAAAACAACTACAGGCAGCTATGACATGACAGCAAATGTTATAAAAACATTGCTAACAATTTGGCTACAAATTTGTTGTTGTTTTTTTGGCACAGTTGTTGTGTAGTTTTTTTAGGCCCTGTTAAAACATTTCGCAAACTAGTTGCTAAATTAAAGGTAGTTCATGGAATACACCTGGGTATTTGACATGCTGAGCAATTAAATAGTTTCAGTTGGAGAAAAGGGAGGTGCAAACTTTTTAATATTTTTTGAAGGCGTGGATTTTTTAAGGATTTTTTTAAAGTCGTGGATTTTTAAAGATTTTTTCAAAGTCGTGGATTTTTAAAGAGTTTTAAAAAAACCGCGGATTTTTTAAACGATTTTTCCAAAGGCGTGGATTTTTTAAACGATTTTTCCAAAGGCGTGGATTTTTTAAACGATTTTCCAAAGGCGTGGATATTTAAAAATTTTGAGAAAAGCCGTGGATTTTTTTAAGGATATTTTCAAAGGCGCGGATTTTTAAACGATTTTTCCAAAGGCGTGGATTTTTTAAACGATTTTCAAAAGACGTGGATTTTTTTAACATTTTTTCAAAGGTGTGTATTTTTTAAAGATTTTTGCAAAGGCTTGAATTTTTAAGGATTTTTTTCAGAGGCATGGTTTTTTTAAAGATTTTTTTCAAAGGCATGGATTTTTTAAAGAATTTTTCCAAAGGCCTGGGAAAAGGCGTGGATTTTGTAATGATTTTCGAAAAGGCGTGGATTTTTTAATGATTTTCAAAAAGGCGTGGATTTTTTAATGACTTTCGAAAAAGCGTGGATTTTTTAATGATTTTCGAAAAGGCGTGGATTTTTTAATGATTTTCGAAAAGGCGTGGATTTTTTAAACGATTTTTCAAAAGACGTGGATTTTTTAAACGATTTTTCAAAAGACGTGGATTTTTTAATGATTTTCGAAAAGGCGTGGATTTTTTAATGATTTTCGAAATGGCGTGGATTTTTTAATGATTTTCGAAAAGGCGTGGATTTTTTAATGATTTTCGAAATGGCGTGGATTTTTTAAAGATTTTTGCAAAGGCTTGAATTTTTTAAAGATTTTTGCAAAGGCTTGAATTTTTAAGGAATTTTTTCAGAGGCATGGTTTTTTTAAAGATTTTTTTCAAAGGTATGAATTTTTTAAAGAATTTTTCCAAAGGCCTGGGAAAAGGCGTGGATTTTTTAATGATTTTCGAAAAGGCGTGGATTTTTTAATGATTTTCGAAATGGTGTGGATTTTTTAATGATTTTCGAAAAGGCGTGGATTTTTTAATGATTTTCGAAAAGGCGTGGATTTTTTAATGATTTTCGAAAAGGCGTGGATTTTTTAATGATTTTCGAAAAGGCGTGGATTTTTTAATGATTTTCGAAAAGGCGTGGATTTTTTAATGATTTTCGAAATGGCGTGGATTTTTTAATGATTTTCGAAAAGGCGTGGATTTTTTAATGATTTTCGAAATGGTGTGGATTTTTTAATGATTTTCGAAAAGGCGTGGATTTTTTAATGATTTTCGAAAAGGCGTGGATTTTTTAATGATTTTCGAAAAGGCGTGGATTTTTTAATGATTTTCGAAAAGGCGTGGATTTTTTAATGATTTTCGAAATGGCGTGGATTTTTTAATGATTTTCGAAAAGGCGTGGATTTTTTAATGATTTTCGAAAAGGCGTGGATTTTTTAATGATTTTCGAAAAGGTATGGATTTTTTAATGATTTTCGAAAAGGCGTGGATTTTTTAATGATTTTCGAAAAGGTCTGGATTTTTTAATGATTTATTTTTTTTTTTAATGTAGACTATGTGGACTATTTCACGATTTTTTAGAAGGGGATTTTAAAGCGGCCACAACAACCCAAAACTGGGATTTTATATTTTTTTTGTGATTTTTTAAGTGACCATAAGAGTACAATAAGTATAGTTTTTAAAGAATTTTGGACGGATTTTTAGATGCTATACGGCCTAAGACCTGGATTTAAAAAATTCAAGGTGCTTAACAGCCTAAAACTTGAATTTTTTAAAGATTCTGAAAAATTGAAATTGACATTTCTTTCTTTGTGAGAATTTTTTGTGAAATTTTTAAAAGGGTTATAACAGCCCAAGACTGGGATTTTTTTAGATTTCAGGAGGGATCCATAAGAGCTAAAGACGAGGATTTTTAAAATATCTTTTCGGAGGAATTTTTATTTATTTATTTTTTATTTGGGGTGGGACATCACTTTCGATGATTTTTTGTTTTTTTTTTTAACAATTTTTTGGAAGGCTTCTAATGGTTTATCAGGGTTTATAACAGCATTTTTAAAGGGCCATAACAGCCCAAGAAGTGAATTTTTTACAGTTTTTTTTTTTTTTTGTAGGGATTATTAAGGTGCCAAAACGTGCCTTATGGAAATAAAGGTTTTAGACTCTAGTTTTATTTGCACCAAATCAGTTTCAGAATATTTGAAGTCGATCTAGGGCTGCCCGTCCGTCTGTCTGTTCGGCTGGTGTATACATCTGTTGACAAAACCGACTGATACCATTTAACTTGTTTAAATAAATTTTAAATCCAAACAAGGTTTTTTGGATGAATTGTTAAGTTTTTTAAGAATAGAATAAATTAAGATTTCATAACATTCCAAGACATCGAATTTTTAAAGATTTTTGGAAAGATTTTTAAGGGCATAACAGCCTAAGATGTCGATTATTTAAATTCCTAAATTTAAAATTTTAAAAAATACTAATTTTTTGTCCAATTTTAAATATTTGTCTTATCCATGCTTTCTGCTTTCATTTTCAGATGTTCCCGATATTGTGTGTCAGGATTATGCTGTGCCACACATGCAGGATCTGTTACCCAGCCAAAAGTCAAATTCGCTTTACAGCGGTGCGGGTAGCATTTTGGGTAGTGGTGCGGGTGCTGGTGGTGGTGTCGGTGGCATAGCTTCAAATAGTCTTAATGGAAGTAACAGTAATTACAGTACAACATTAGCAAGCAACCGCAACACTCTCAACAATATGTTTCATATGAAAATACCACCACCCCCGCCACCGCCAATGGGTACGGTGCCGTTTCCCCTTGTGTCGGGCTCGTCAACGTCTCTGGCACCGGGACATTATGCACTACAACAGCAACCACAAACATCACCAGGACAACTACAACAACAGCAGCAGCATCAACATCAGTTCCATGGATTGTTATCGTCATCATCAGCAGTGAATGCTGCTGCTGCAGCTTCCACACCAACCCCAACAACAACAATGTCACCTTCTGAGAAATATTATGCTGCAATGGCAATTTGTAAAGCCAATATGTCGACAACATTGGCCGGCAATAATGCAACACAAGAACAGCAAATGAATTGGGCCACAACAGACGGATCCGCAACAGCAACAACAACGCCAGGACAGAAATTCCAACAACAACAGCAGTACCATCAGCACCATCAGCAAAATCAGGGAACATCAACCGGAACATTGCCAAATGGCAAGAATGTTTTTCTAACTGGAATTTTTCAAAATGCCCTCACATTACCATCATCGAACGAGTCTCCGAATTTTGATAAGTCTCCCACAGCCAGCATTACTGGGATTGGGGGTAGTGGTGGTGGCGGTGGCAGTGGATATGGCTGCGGCTCGGGGAGCCTTAATGTCACATTGACAAAACCACATCATTACAATGCAAACGAATTGAGTGATTTCATAAGCCAGGTGGCGGGAGGCGATACCGAGGAATCGGCCAATTGCCAGTTACAGGAATTTCCAAGACATTCATTAGTTATTGTGGAGAAATTAGGCTGTGGTGTTTTTGGTGAATATCATTTGTGCGAGACGAGGGGATTGAGGTGAGTGAAGCTATAAATTTTAAAATCAAAGTTTAAGAATGGAAGAAATATTCGAAAATTTTCAAAACCCAAGGACAATTTTTTAAATAATTTTTTTTAAGGATTTGACCAACAATAAACGTGGATTTTTTAAATATTTTTTTTCAAGGACATAACCAACAATAAAATTGGATTTTTTAAGTAATTCTTTTCAAGAACACAACCAACAATAAACGTGGATTTTTTAAATAATTTTTTCAAGGACATAACCAACAATAAACGTGGATTTTTTAAATAATTCTTTTCAAGGACATAACCAACAATAAACGTGGATTTTTTAAATAATTTTTTTCAAGGACATAACCAACAATAAACGTGGATTTTTTAAATAATTTTTTTCAAGGACCTTCACATCATCAAACGTGGATTTTTTAAATAATTTTTTTCCAGGACATAACCAACAATGAACGTGGATTTTTTAAATAATTTTTTTCAAGGACATAACCAACAATAAACTTGGATTTTTTAAATAATTTTTTTCAAGGACATAACCAACAATAAACGTGGAGTTTTTAAATAATTTTTTTCAAGGACATAACCAACAATAAACGTGGATTTTTTAAATAATTTTTTGCAAGGACCTTCACATCATCAAACGTGGATTTTTTAAATAATTTTTTCAAGGACCTTGACATCATCAAACGTGGATTTTTTAAATCATTTTTTTCAAGGTCCTTAACATCATCAAACGTGGATTTTTTAAATAATTTTTTTTTCAAGGACCTTCACATCATCAAACGTGGATTTTTTAAATATTTTTTGTCAAGGACATAACCAACAATAAACCTGCATTTTTTAAATAAATTTTTTTCAAGAACGTAACCAACTATAAATTTGGATTTTTTTAATAATTTTTTTCAAGGACACAACCAACAATAAACGTGGATTTTTTAAATAATTTTTGTCAAGGACATAACCAACAATAAACCTGCATTTTTTAAATAAATTTTTTTCAAGAACGTAACCAACTATAAATTTGGATTTTTTTAATAATTTTTTTCAAGGACACAACCAACAATAAACGTGGATTTTTTAAATATTTTTTTTCTAGGACATAACCAACAATAAACGTGCATTTTTTAAATAATTATTTTCAAGGACATAACCAAAACGTGGATTTTTTAAATAATTTTTTTCAAGGACATAACCAAAAATAAACGTGGATTTTTTAAATAATTCTTTTCGAGGAAATAACCAAAAATAAACGTGGATTTTTAAAATAATTTTTTTCAAGGACCTTTAGTTCATCAAACGTGGATTTTTTAAATAATTTTTTTTTTCAAGGTTCTTCACATCATCAAACTTGGATTTTTTAAATAATTTTCTTCAAGGATCTTCACATCATCAAACGTGGATTTTTTAAATAATTTTTTTCAAGGACCTCTACATCATCAAAAGTGGATTTTTTAAATAATTTTTTTCAAGGACCTTTAGTTCATCAAACGTGGATTTTTTAAATAATTTTTTTCAAGGACCTTTAGTTCATCAAACGTGGATTTTTTAAATAATTTTTTTCAAGGACCTTTAGTTCATCAAATGTGGATTTTTTAAATAATTTTTTTCAAGGACCTTTAGTTCATCAAATGTGGATTTTTTAAATAATTTTTTTCAAGGACCTTTAGTTCATCAAACGTTCATTTTGCATTGGATTTTTTAAATAATTTTTTTCAAGGACCTTTAGTTCATCAAACGTGTATTTTGGATTGGATTTTTTAAATAATTTTTTTCAAGGACCTTTAGTTCATCAAACGTGTATTTTGGATTGGATTTTTTAAATAATTTTTTTCAAGGACCTTTAGTTCATCAAACGTGGATTTTTTAAATAATTTTTTTTCAAGGACCTTTACTTCATCAAACGTGGATTTTTTAAATATTTTTTTTCAAGGACCTTTACTTCATCAAACGTGGATTTTTTAAATAATTTTTTTCAAGGACCTTTAGTTCATCAAACGTGGATTTTTTAAATAATTTTTTTCAAGGACCTTTAGTTCATCAAACGTGGATTTTTTAAATAATTTTTTTCAAGGACCTTTAGTTCATCAAACGTGGATTTTTTAAATAATTTTTTTCAAGGACCTTTAGTTCATCAAACGTGGATTTTTTAAATAATTTTTTTCAAGGACCTTTAGTTCATCAAACCTGGATTTTTTACATAATTTTTTTCAAGGACCTTTAGTTCATCAAACGTGGATTTTTTTTTTAAGATTTTTAATTTAAGGACCTTTAGTTCATCAAACCTGGATTTTTGACATAATTTTTTTCAAGGACCTTTAGTTCATCAAATGTGGATTTTTTAAATAATTTTTTTCAAGGACCTTTAGTTCATCAAACGTGGATTTTTTAAATAATTTTTTTCAAGGACCTTTAGTTCATCAAACCTGGATTTTTTACATAATTTTTTTCAAGGACCTTTAGTTCATCAAACGTGGATTTTTTTTTTAAGATTTTTAATTTAAGGACCTTTAGTTCATCAAACCTGGATTTTTGACATAATTTTTTTCAAGGACCTTTAGTTCATCAAATGTGGATTTTTTAAATAATTTTTTTCAAGGACCTTTAGTTCATCAAATGTGGATTTTTTAAATAATTTTTTTCAAGGACCTTTAGTTCATCAAATGTGGATTTTTTAAATAATTTTTTTCAAGGACCTTTAGTTCATCAAATGTGGATTTTTTAAATAATTTTTTTCAAGGACCTTTAGTTCATCAAACGTTTATTTTGGATTAGATTTTTTAAATAATTTTTTTCAAGGACCTTTAGTTCATCAAACTTGTATTTTGGATTGGATTTTTTAAATAATTTTTTTCAAGGACCTTTAGTTCATCAAACGTGTATTTTGGATTGGACTTTTTAAATAATTTTTTTCAAGGACCTTTAGTTCATCAAACGTGGATTTTTTAAATAATTTTTTTTTCAAGGACCTTCACATCATCAAACGTGGATTTTTTAAATAATTTTTTTTTCAAGGACCTTCACATCATCAAACGTGGATTTTTTAAATAATTTTTTTCAAGGACCTTCACATCATCAAACGTGGAGTTTTTAAATATTTTTTTTCAAGGACATAACCAACAATAAACGCGAATTTTTTAAATAATTTTTTTCAAGGACATAACCAACAATAATCTTGGATTTTTTAAATAATTTTTTTCAAGGACATAACCTACAATAAACGTGGATTTTTTAAATAATTTTTTTCAAGGACATAACCTACAATAAACTTGGATTTTTTAAATAATTTTTTTCAAGGACTTCACATCATCAAACGTGGATTTTTTTTAATAATTTTTTTCAAGGACCTCTACATCATCAAACGTTTATTTTTTAAACATTTTTTTTCAAGGACCTTTAGTTCATCAAACGTGGATTTTTTAAATAATTTTTTTCAAGGACCTTTAGTTCACCAAACATGGATTTTTTAAATAATTTTTTTCAAGGACCTTTAGTTCATTAAACGTGGATTTTTCAAATAATTATTTTCAAGGATCTTTAGTTCATCAAACGTGGATTTTTAATTTTTTTTTTTAAGGACTTTTACTTAATTTTTTAATTTTATTCAAGGACCTTTAGTTCATCAAACGTGGATTTTTTAAATAATTTTTTTAAGGACATTTACTTAATTTTTTAATTTTATTCAAGGACCTTTAGTTCATCAAACGTGGATTTTTTAAATAATTTTTTTCAAGGACCTTTAGTTCATCAAACGTGGATTTTTTAAATAATTTTTTTCAAGGACCTTTAGTTCATCAAACGTGGATTTTTTAAAGAATATTTTTTCAAGGACCTTTAGTTCATCAAACGTGGATTTTTTAAATAATTTTTTTCAAGGACCTTTAGTTCATCATACTTGGATTTTTCATATAATTTTTTTCAAGGACCTTTAGTTCATCAGACGTGGATTTTTTAAATAATTTTTTTCAAGGACCTTAAGTTCATCAAACGTTGATTTTTTAAATAATTTTTTTTCAAGGACCTTTAGTTCATCAAACGTGGATTTTTTATTTATTTATTTATTTATTTTTTTAAGGGCTTTAAGTTCATCAAACGTTGATTTCTTAAGAAATTTTTTCCAAGGATCTTTAGTTCATCAAACGTGGATTTTAATACCAATAAATGTGTGAATTTTGAAATAATTTTTTTTCATGAATTCATTCTCCAATTTTAATTTTTTTTAAGGATTCATCATTCATGTTGCTCTTGCAATCATTTAAAAATTTAAAAGACCCGCGTACATATTTTGTTGAAATATATTTTTGTGGTTTAAAAACTGCATTCAGTCTTTTGAATCCTACAATGATGATTTGTCTTTGGTATATTTGATTGTCTAGTCTCTTTAGATGTCCTTTTTGATGTTGTTCATATTATTGCATTTGTTGTCCTTTGTCATTCGGCAGAAGGCAATCCGAATTTTATAATAACTTTTACAAATGACTTGCTGCAGACATTGGGGGTAAGGCCTTTTGGAAGATTTTGAATGGTCAGTTGTTGGACTTTTTTTAATACCATTTTTAAATTTAAGATTTAAAAATTGCTTTTATAAATTTTTAAAACAGGTATGTCCTACATTTGGTCCTCGGAAAAATATTCTTTAAAAAATCTACCTGAAGGTCCTAGGAAAAGTAATATTTAAAAAATCTATTGGTCTGAAGGTCCTAGAAAAGTAATATTTAAAAAATCTATTGGTTTGAAGGTCCTTTGAAAAATACTATTTAAAAAATCTATTGGTTTGAAGGTCCTTTGAAAACTACTATTTAAAAAATCTATTGGTCTGAAGGTCCATGAAAAAAAAAATTCTTTAAAAAATCCACGTTTATTGATCTTTTGGTCCTTGAAAAAAAAATTCTTTAAAAAATCCACGTTTATTGATCTTTTGGTCCTTGAAAAAAAAATTCTTTAAAAAATCCACGTTTATTGATCTTTTGGTCCTTGAAAAAATATTCTTTAAAAAATCCACGTTTATT